AAGGAGAGAAGGAAATTAAAAAGTGAAAGGAAAAAGAGAGGGAAGGAAGGAGAGAAGGAACAAAAGATAGGGAAGGAAGGAAGTAACCAAAGAGCAAAGAAAGGGAGGAAAGAAACAGGTAGAGATGGAAGAAAGAAGAGAGATAGGGAAAGAAAAAGAGGAAAGGAAGGAAAGAGGGAAGGAAGGAGAGAAAGAGGGAGGGAAGGTTGGCCACAGCAACACATGGCGGGTACAGCTAGTATTTATAATAATAATCATCATCATCATCATCATCATCTTTATTTGTACCCCGCCACCATCTCCCCAACAGGGACTTGGGGCGGCTTACCTGGGGCCAAGCCCAACAACACAGCAACAAAATAAAATCAAAACATAAACAACAGCAAAATCAATTACATAAAACATACACTATAAAAATATGACAAGCAATATACAATAGAATAAAACCATTCAATCAGAGGAAGAAGCAGGTGGTGGTCTTGGCTCATTCTGGGTTTGCGAAGTTAGACATACTCTGCAGATGCTCAGGAGCAGCCCCGTCTGTCCTTTGGGTTCCATGTTACGAAGAATGACTGTGAGAGCCGTTCAGCAGTGGAACTCTCTGCCCCGGAGTGTGGTGGAGGCTCCTTCTTTGGAAGCTTTTAAACAGGGGCTGGATGGCCATCTGTCAGGGGTGCTTTGAATGCAATATTCCTGCTTCTTGGCAGAATGGGGTTGGACTGGATGATGGCCCAGGAGGTCTCTTCCAACTCTTTGATTCTATGATTCTAGGTCATGCAAATATTTATTTATCGTGTCAGAAGCGGACCGAGGGTACAGTTGGAATGTATTTAAAAACACAAACAAAGTTTGAAAAACTTGGCATGGTACTAAATGTCCTTTGACCAGTATCTGGCCACTGTGTCACTGCAAGGAGGTCCTCCCTTGTGCATGTGGCAGGGCTCAGGGTGCATTGCAGCAGGTGGTCAGTGGTTTGCTCTTCTCCAAAAGCCCTCCCGGTCACCGCCGACGCCTGAGCTTCAAACGTGAGCGATGAATCCAAGGGGACTCCCAGACTGCGGACCTGTGGCTTCAGGGGGAGTGTAACCCCATCCAACACAGGTTGCCACCCTATACCCTGGTCAGATGTGCGATCGACCCCACCCCCCCCCCCCCCCCCAAAAAACCCCCCCCCACCATCCAACACAGGTTGCCACCCTATACCCGGTCAGATTTGCGATCGACCAGGAGGACCTCTGTCTTGTAGGGATTGATCTTCAGCTTGTTCTCCCTCATCCAGATAGACACAGTGGCCAGGCACTCGTCCAGCACCCGAGGGGGCTGTGCTAAACCTCCGGCCCTTTGTGATATTGTATATTATAAGTTTTTCTCAGGAGAAGGCGATGATTTACAGCAGTGTTTCTCAACCTTCCTAATGCCGCGACCCCTTAATACTGTTCCTTATGTTGTGGTGACCCCCAACCATCACATTATTTTCGTTGCTACTTCACAACTATAATTGTGCTCCTATTATGAATCGTAACGTAAACATCCGATATGCAGGATATATTTGCATTCACAGGACCAAACTGGGCACAAATATTCAATAATACAACCAAATTTGAATACTGGTGGGGTTGTGGAGAGGATTGATTATGTCATTTGGGAGTTGTAGTTGCTGGGATTTATAGTTCACCTACAATCAAAGAGCATTCTGAAATCCAACAACAACGGAATTGAACCAAATTTGGAACACAGACCTCCCATGACCAAAAGAAAATATGGGAAGGGTTTGCTGTGCATTGACCTTGAGTTTTGGAGTTGTAGTTCACCTACATCCAGAGAGCACTGTGCACTCAAACAATGATGGATCTGGACCAAACTTGGCACAAATACTCAATATGCCCAAATGTGAATACTGGTGGAGTTTGGGGAAAATAGACCTTGACATTTGAGAGTTGTAGTTGCTGGGATTTATAGTTCACCTACAATGAAAGAGCATTCCGAACCCCACCAAGGATAGAATTGGGCCAAACTTCCCATACAGAACTCCCATGACCAACAGAAAATACGTTTTCTGATGGTTTTTGGCGACCCCTCTGCCACTCCTTCGTGATCCCCAGAGGGGTCCCGACCCCCAGGTTGAGAAACACTGATTTACAGTGTCATAGGCTGCTGACAGGTCAATGAAGACAGCGCCTGCTTGAGGAAAATGAAACTGATGCACCATCAGACTAATTCTTTTGCAGAACAAAGAGGTTGAAAGATGGGATGTTGCGTCTATCATGCCCACCTCCATTAGACAAAACAGGTGGGAGAGCACCCCACTTCAACCAGTAGGAGGGAATGGGTCAATCTACTTTGCTCCTGGCCGGGACTGGTGGGAGGGTGGCCTTAGGGACAGTAACAGCACAGCGTCCTCCTCAAATGACCCTTTCCGCCCCAAACATCCAAGCCCGGTGTCATGTTTGTTCATGACAAGAGTGCAGAGCTTCAGCCAAAACTCGTAGAGCAAATTTGTTCTCCCTCGGCCAGTTTCAGGTCAAGCCTAACTCAGGGGTGGCCAATGGGGCACGAATTGCAGCAGGACGTTGCCGTGGATCAGAGGGAATCTCTGGCTGGGGGCCTACCTGGTGCAAACCTGAACTCCCAGCAGGACGTCACTGTTTCTCTGCCTCTTCTGCAAATATGAAACGTCTCCTGTGTTGAGCAACAGGTAAGACCCTGCCCTGGGCACAATTCACAAACACACCTCGACTTTGCATCAGGTGCAAGGGCAGAGGCGTCTCGCCCTATTACTATTACTATATTGTACTATACCGCTATTACTTACTTACTTAGGCGATCCCTCGTAGTCCGAGGATGATGGTCCTCCAAGTTTGGTGTCCTGGGGTGGGTTCGTAGGTGACTGTGGAGCCCTATTCTTGACCTGCATCTTCTCCCACAGTGAGGGCATTGGTTTCCAGGTGGAAGGCGGTCCCGGTCGGGTTGGCTTGACACGCCTTCCTCTTGGCACGTTTCTCTCTTTCGCCCTCCATTTGTGCCTCTTCAAATTCTGCAGCACTGCTGGTCACAGCTGACCTCCAGCTGGAGCGCTCAAGGGCCAGGGCTTCCCAGTTCTCAGTGTCTATGCCAGAGTTTTTAAGGTTGGCTTTGAGCCCATCTTTCAATCTCTTTTCCTGTCCACCAACGTTCCGTTTTCCATTCTTAAGTTCAGAGTAGAGCAACTGCTTTGGGAGATGGTGGTCGGGCATCCGGACAACGTGGCCGGTCCAGCGGAGTTGATGGCGGAGGACCATCGCTTCAATGCTGGTGGTCTTTGCTTCTTCCAGCATGCTGACATTTGTCCGCTTGTCTTCCCAAGAGATTTGCAGGATTTTCCGGAGGCAGCGCTAATGGAATTGTTCCAGGAGTTGCATGTGACGTCTGTAGACAGTCCATGTTTTGCAGGCGTATAGCAGGGTTGGAAGGACAATAGCTTCCAACCCTGCTATACACCTGCAAAACATGGGGAGCTGGAGCTGACAGAGAGAGCTCATCCAATGCTCTCTGCAGATTCGAACCTCCGACCTGTCGGTCTTCAGTCCTGCTGGCAAAAGGGTTTAACCCATTGCGTGTTTTAAATGCAAGGACTTTGCCCAGCTGTTTTGATGTTTTGCCATCCTTGTGGAGGCTTTTCTCACGGCCCTGTATAGTGAGCTGGAGCTGATAGAAGGAGCTCACCCACGCCCGCCGCGGATTCGAACCTCCAACCTGTCGGTCTTCGGTCCTGCCGGCACATGGGTTTAACCCATTGCGTGCTTTAAATGCACGGACTTTGCCCAGATGTTTTGCCATCCTTGTGGGAGCCTTCTCTCATGTCCCTATATGTGGAGCTGGAGCTGAAGAGGGAGCTCACCTGCGCTCTCTGTGGATTTGAACCTCCAACCTGTCAGTCTTCAGTCCTGCTGGCAAAAGGGTTTAACCCATTGCGTGTTTTAAATGCAAGGACTTTGCCCAGATGTTTTGATGTTTTGCCATCCTTGTGGCAGTCTTCTCTCATGTCTCCGTATGGGGAGCTGGAGCTGACAGAGGGAGCCCTCCGTGGATTTGAACCTCCAACCTGTCGGTCTTAAATGCAATTTGTTTCATAAAGATCAAGTAGACAGAACATATTGTAAAGAACAAAAATAACTTTCTGGCCTTGCATCGCACATTTTAGTGCAAATATTAAGACACAAATAGTGTTCAATTCAGCAAGTATTGCCGGCACAAGGGTTTAACTGAAGAAAATATATTAAGAAGCAACAATAATAATATAATTTAATTTTTTTAAAGCACCGCAAAATGGTAATTAGTTTCGCTCATAGATCCAAAAGGCCAATCAGGTGTGCTATGCTCAGACCGTCTCATAGGGCTGGAGAACAAGCCCTATGAGGAGCGGCTTAAGGAGCTGGGCATGTTTAGCCTGAAGAAGAGAAGGCTGAGAGGAGATATGATAGCCATGTATAAATATGTGAGAGGAAGCCACAGGGAGGAGGAGGGAGCAAGCTTGTTTTCTGCTTCCCTGGAGACTAGGACGCAATGGAACAATGGCTTCAAACTACAAGAGAGGAGATTCCATCTGAACACGAGGAAGAACTTCCTGACTGTGAGAGCTGTTCAGCAGTGGAACTCTCTGCCCCGGAGTGTGGTGGAGGCTCCTTCTTTGGAGGCTTTTAAACAGGGGCCGGATGGCCATCTGTCAGGGGTGATTTGAATGCAATATTCCTGCTTCTTGGCAGAATGGGGTTGGACTGGATGGCCCATGAGGTCTCTTCCAACTCTTTGATTCTATGATTCTATGATTCTATTTCAATGACTAGTCCTGAATCCATCCCGCTGGGCTCTGCTCCAAGCAAAGCATGTACACCTGAGCCTTGGACTTTCACCTGTATTGTGCCCAAGCCCAGGGCTTGCTTCATCTGAACTCCTGGAAGAGCCGCAGAGTTGGGCAACTGATTACAGGCACCGTCCGGTGGAGACGGAAGAGAGTGCCGAGCATGGACGTCCTGAGCTCCGTGACCTCCCACCCCATCTGGTTTGCCTGCTCCTTGGCCCTGTCCACGGTGCTCTGGGTGTGCAAGAAGAGGAGGTGGGCTCCTGGCTCCTGCCCCGTGGATCTGAGCGGCAAGACGGCCATCGTCACCGGAGCCAACAGCGGTGAGTCTTCTGCCAGGGCCAGGCTTGCAAAACAGAGCCATGGAATCATAGCAAGTGTCCACGGGAAGTGCTGTAAACGTAAACAACGGGAAGGAACTTCCTTCCACATGTGGTGGTCCTCTAAAAAAGCAAGAGAATTCTGGAGCAAGGTACACAGCACGCTGCAAGGCATTTTCCATTCAAAGAAACCTTATCACATCAGGAAATATTCCTTTTCGGAGACTGTTTTTGAATAGGTCCCATCACTCAGTGTTTGCCCCATCCCGTCAGTATTCCGCCTGAATCCGTCTGCAAAGCATTTCAAAAACGGATTCTTTGCAGACAGAGTTATAGTCGTCGAAGGCTTTCATGGCCGGAATCACTGGGTTGTTGTAGGTTTTTCCGGGCTATATGGCCATGTTCTGGAGGCAATTTTTCTCCTGATGTTTTGCCTGCATCTATGGCAAGCATCCTCAGAGGTAGTGAGGTCTGTTGGAAGTAGGAAAAATGGGTTTATATATCTGTGGAATGACCAGGGTGGGACAAAGGACTCTTGTCTGCTGGGGCTAGGTGTGAATGTTTCAGCTGATCACCTTGATTTGCATTCAATGGCTACCAGTATTAAAAAACTCAAAACAACAGAGGGGAAACAAACAGGCACATAAAATCACTCTCAACAAAAGATTCCCCCCCAGGCACTTCCAAGCCATTGAATGCTGTACTGCCATCTGTTGAGGAGTTATGAAGGTGGAGGCATTACTTTTCATTCAACCCTCGTAGTTTTGGCTCAACAATCCAATCTGTTGGCCATTTATATTTATTGCTGTTGTGACTCAGCCGAAACCACAGAGTGTCTCTGATGAAGATGATAGGACTCAGGTTCATAGTCTGGTTCAAAATGTCCCTGTTATAGATAGTGAAGAACACGGTGTGCAAGGGCAGTTTCCCACAGCAAGGAATGAGATTGTTGATACTGAAACTAGCCAGGCGCAGGTGCAGATTGACTCAGAGAAGGAGGACAGTTCTCAGCCCGATAATGAGCAGGAAGGGAAACAGGCTGACACTAACTAACAGGCTGACCTTGACGAAATGGGAACCTTAGATCGGGCTGACCGTTTGGAATTCCGAGTTCGAAGGAGTGTGAGAATAGCTAACAAGAGGGAGGCCAGAGGCCAAAGAAACGCCTTCATGTTTTGCAAAGGGTATTAAGCAGTGTGTTTGAACACAAACCTTTGTAAAAGCAACTTTTCGTTTAACCAAGAAGCTTGCCTTGCTTGTCTGGATTATCTTGCAGTTCTTGTGTTCATGTTTTCAGGACTTTGCATGTTCTCTTGGGTGTTTGCTTTGCTGGTGCCTTTTTGGATTAATCTTCAAAGTGCTACTTTATATTGATCTTTTGGAACATTACCTTTGTTTGTAAGAACTTTTTACCTTTTATTTTTTACTAAACTATAAAGACTTCTGGCTGTGTGCAGTTTGGTGTTTTCAGCAAGGTGAATCTACTCTGAGGTGCGACAATTGCCTAAGCTTAGCACCGTAGTGGGAGAGCAAACAGTGGTGCCTCGGTGTTGGGGTTCAGCCTGCGTGTGAACCTGAACCTGATTCTCTGATTGTATTTCCTGATGCTACTGAACATGTATTTTTCCCTGATGGTATTGAAAATGTTGATTCTGAGGTCAGTGGCTTGGAAAGTGAAACTACACATCTTGATGAGAATGTTTCAGAGCCAAGCGGTGTTAGCTCTCCAGAGGAGCTAACACCTGGCTTCCTTAATGAGGATAGAAAAGGACAGATTTGGAAAAACAGGAGTGAATCGCAGAGTCTGCGAAGGTCAAGCAGATAAAGGGAAAAGGAGGCACAGGCTTCAAAGCCTGGAGGCGTGTCATGAAACAGTTTCTTCAGTTTTAAGTGCCTCTCCCCGGGCTGTCTCGTTAGATCAGGCATCGTTTAGACTGAGGCATTACCTTGGCAGATTTCCTGTTTTCTGTGGCCTACATCCCAAGAGGTTTCTAGTGTTCCAAGTACAGTTAGTGAAATGCTAACAGGTTCCAGGTTTTTACAGTGTTGTTTTCGGAATTTTGATCTAGTTCATAGATATTCCTGACTGCTGAAGTTTACTGTGGCTTTTTGACTTTGCGTTTTCCTCTATTTTGTAACCATTTTTCATCAATAAAAAGGGATTGTTTTTTCCCACAGTCAAGTGTGGTGGATTGTTATCTTATGGTCTCGTTTCCTGATCTGGGTTGCAATACTCGGCCAGGATTGTTGGGTTGGATGGTGGCCTGTTTTCAGTGGATTTGCAGGGACGCTTCTGCATCCATCCATATAGAAATGTGTGTCTCCGCAGGGATTGGCAAGTACGTGGCCCTGGACCTGGCGCGCAGGAATGCGCACACCATCCTGGCGTGCCGCAGCTTAGAACGGGGCCGGGCTGCCGTGGAGGAGATCCGCCGGGCCACGGGGAACCCCCAGGTGGAGCTGCGCCTGCTGGACACCAGCTCCATGGCGTCGGTGCGGGATTTTGCTCGGCAGTTCTTGGAGAAGAACAAGCGGCTGGACATCCTGGTCAACAACGCCGGAGCCTCAGGTGAGGGGCACGAGGGTCCAGGAGGGACTGAGAAGACAAGATCCAGAATGGAAGTAGTCAGGCCTTCATTCCCTTTGAATTGTTTACTGCCTGGAGACATCCTTGTCAGAAATATTAAATATTAACTAGACATTTTTCATTACAAAAATGTGAGTCGAGCACTGAAAGGGTTAAATGGATGCAATGACTCAGCAAAAGCTTTCGTTCAATATAAGCAGGTGTGCCTGTAGCTTAGTAGCCCTCAATCTGTGAGAGCTCTCTGTGGGAGAAAGGCCTCAGTATGTTAATAGGCCTCAGTATGAGAAGGCCTCAGTGTTAGTTTGCCTCAGTATATGAGAGACGTCAGTCTTAGAGAGCCCTCTGTGTGAGAGGACCTCAATGGGAGAAAGGCCTCAGTGTGAGGTAGGCCTCAGTGTTAGTTCGCCTCAGTCTTAGCCCTCTGTGTGAGAGGGCCTCAATGGGAGAAAGGTCTCAGTGTGAGGTAGGCCTCAGTGTTAGTAGGCCTCGGCATGAGAAGGCCTCAGTGTTAGTTCGCCTCAGTATATGAGAGGAGTCAGTCTTAGCCCTCTGTGTGAAAGGGCCTCAAAGGCAGAAAGGCCTCAGTGTTAGTAGGCCTCAGTATGAGAAGGCCTTAGTGTTAGGTCGGCTCAGTATATGAGAGGCATCAGTTTTAGAAAGCTCTCTGTGTGAGAGGGCCTCAATGGGAGAAAGGCCTCAGTGTGAGGTAGGCATCAGTGTTAGTAGGCCTCGGTATGAGAAGGCCTCAGTGTTAGTTTGCCTCACTATATGAGAGGCATCAGTCTTAGAGAGCTCTCTGTGTGAGAGGGCCTCAATGGGAGAAAGGCTTCAGTGTGAGGTAGGCCTCAGTGTTAGTAAGCCTCAGTATGAGAAGGCCTCAGTTTTAGTTCACCTCAGTATATGAGAGGCTTCAGTCTTAGAAAGCCCTCTGTGTGAGAGGACCTCAATGGGAGAAAGGCCTCAGTGTTAGTAGACCTCGGTATGAGAAGGCCTTAGTGTTAGGTCGGTTCAGTATATGAGAGGCATCAGTTTTAGAGAGCTCTCTGTGTGAGAGGGCCTCAATGGGAGAAAGGCCTCAGTGTGAGGTAGGCATCAGTGTTAGTAGGCCTCGGTATGAGAAGGCCTCAGTGTTAGTTTGCCTCACTATATGAGAGGCATCAGTCTTAGAGAGCTCTCTGTGTGAGAGGGCCTCAATGGGAGTAAGGCCTCAGTGTGAGGTAGGCCTCAGTATCAGTTGGCCTCGGTATGAGAAGGTCTCAGTGTTAGTTTGCCTCAATATATGAGAGGCGTAATTCTTAGCACTCTGTGTGAGAGGGCCTCAATGGGAGAAAGGCCTCAGTGTGAGGTAGGCGTCAGTGTTAGTAGGCCTCAGTATGAGAAGGCCTCAGTGTTAGTTCACCTGTTGTGACTCAGCTGGATGATAGGATTCAGGTTCACAATCTGTTTCAAAATATCCCTGTTATAGTCAAAAATAGTCTGGATTATCTTGCAGTTCTTGTGTTCATGGTCTCGGGACTCAGTCATGCTCTCATGGGATTTTGCTTTGCTGCTGCTGTTTTGGATCATGCTTCAAAGTATTATTTTGTATTGATCTTTTAGAACATTACTTTTTCTTTTAAGAACTTTTTATCTTTTACTTTTAATAAACTATAAAGATTTCTGGCTGTGTGCAGTTTGGTGTTTTCAGCAAGGTGAACCTATTCTGGGGTGTGACATCGCCTCAGTATATGAGAGGAATCAGTCTTAGAGAGCCCTCTCTGTGAGAGGGCCTCAATGGGAGAAAGGCCTCAGTGTGAGGTAGACCTCAGTGTTAGTAGGCCTTGATATGAGAAGGCCTCAGTGTTTGTTCACCTCAATATATGAGAGGCATCATTCTTAGCACTCTGTGTAAGAGGGCCTCAATGGGAGAAAGACCTCAGTGTGAGATAGGCCTCAGTGTTAGGAGGCCTGTTAGTAGGCCTTGATATGAGAAGGCCTCAGTGTTTGTTCACCTCAATATATGAGAGGCGTCATTCTCAGCACTCTGTGTGAGAGGGCCTCAATGGGAGAAAGGCCTCTGTGTGAGAGAACACCTCAGTGTGAAAGAAGCCCAGGTTGAAGGTCATTGTGTGTGAAGTGCCAGTGTAAAAGGCTGCTGTGTAAAAAGCTACTGTGTGAAGCTCCTATGTAACTTTGGTGTGAGACGAGGCTCTGAGAGAGTGAAGCTGTTTATCTGCCTGAGAAAGAAGCCCAGCGTGGAAGTAAAGAAGGAAGTATAAAGAACTTTATTTGTATTATGGAAACCTTATTCTTGTAAGTAGTGCAACCATATTATTTTGCTATAAAGAAAAGCCTCCTCTGGAAGAGATAACATTGGTCTGTGTGTTTGTGTTCTTTTTATCACTTTGGGCTACTGGTGCTGGGTCACGTTGCTGCTGATAAGTTACTCTGCTGTGTATTTATGGAGAGGATCTTTCGTTAATAAGACCGCTTGCCCAACAATCCTTAGCCTTCGAAATGTTCACTGGCCATTGATTGCTTCCTGTCTGGGGACTTTCTGTGCCTGGGTGGTGTTCTTTAGTCTGGTGTTTCTCAATACTGGTAACTAAATGTTGTTTATTCTCGTCATTCCATTCCTTTCTGTTGAAATTGTCCATGTTCTCGTAGATTTCAATGTCTTCTCTGTGTTTTCTGGCAAAATAGTTGTCTGAGTGTTCCAGAATTTCTGCGTTTTCAGATAATATTCTGTGCCCAGGTTGGTTTATCATGTGTTCTGCTATGGCTGATTTTTCTGGCTGAATTAGTCTGCATTGACTTTCATGTTCCTCGATTCGTGTTTGGGCAATGCTGCTGCGTTTGGTGGTCCCTATGTAGATTTGTTCACAGCTACACGGTATGTAATAGATTCCTTTAGTGGTTGCCTTACCGCAATACTTACTTACTTACTTAGGCAATCTCTCGTAGTCTGAGGATGATGGTCCTCCAAGTTCGGTGTCCTGGGGGTGGGTCTGTAGGTGACTGTGGAGCCCTATTCTTGACCTGCATCTTCTCCCATATTGGTTTCCAGGTGGGAGGCGGTCCTGGTAGGGGTTGGCTTGAGGCGCCTTCCTCCTGGCATGTTTCTCTCTTTCGCCCTCCATTCGTGCCTCTTCAAATTCTGCAGCACTGCTGGTCACAGCTGACCTCCAGCTGGAGCGCTCAAGCTCCAGGGCTTCCCAGTTCTCAGTGTCTATGCCAGAGTTTTTAAGGTTGGCTTTGAGGCCATCTTTAAATCTCTTTTCCTGTCCACCAACATTCTGTTTCCATTCTTGAGTTCAGAGTAGAGTAACTGCTTTGGGAGATGGTGGTTGGGTATCCGGACAACGTGGCCGGTCCAGCGGAGTTGATGATGGAGGACCATTGCTTTGATGCTGGTGGTCTTTGCTTCTTCCAGCATGCTGATGTTTGTCTGCCTGTCTTCCCAAGAGATCTGCAGGATTTTCCGGAGGCAGCGCTGATGGAATCGTTCCAGGAGTTGCATGTGACGCCTGTAGACAGTCCACGTTTTGCAGGCATATAGCAGGGTTGGGAGGACAATAGCTTTATAGACAAACACCTTGGTAACGATTCCTGTCCTGGTCCTCAAACACTCTGCTTCATTCGGAAAAATGCTGCACTCGCAGAGCTCAGGCGGTGTTGTATTTCAGTGTCAATGTTGACTTTGGTGGAGAGGTGGCTGCCAAGGGAGCGGAAACGGTCAACATTTTCTAATATTACACCATTAAGCTGCAATACAATAACATGTCAAATCGGCTCTCTTGTTGCCCCTTCTCCACACCGTTGCTCCTCTTGTGTCCCTTCCCAGGTATGCCACATTCCATCACTGCTGAGGGGTTGGAGCTGACCTTCGCCACCAATGTCCTGGGCCCCTTCCTTCTCACCAACCTTTTGCTAGGTAAGCCCAAGCAGGGTTTGCTCCCCTCACAGTGTGACTCTCAGGACTTCCAAAGGGAAGCCAAGCCTTACCTGGGCCTGTGAAGGTGACAGGTGAGTCTGGCCAGGTGCCTCCTCCATGAGGAAGCGGATGGGAATCCTTGCTCTATTTCTCCTTTCCCTCCTTCCGCCCTGCGCAGATGTGCTGAAGGCCTCGGCCCCCGCACGCATCGTAAATGTGTCGTCCTGCATGCATTATCGTGGCTCCATGGATGTCCGGTGCCTGACGGGAGAGGAAAGGATGAAGAATAGCAGCCAGGTCTACAACAGCACCAAGCTCATGAACATGATCTTCACAGCCGAGCTGCACCGGAGGCTGAGTGGAACAGGTGGGCATCCAGAGTCAACCTCTGTCTCAGGGTGTAGTAGTAGTATTAGTAGTAGTAGCAATAATAGTCATCATCATCATCCTCAGACTTTGTGGAGCCCCCAGTGATGCAGTGGGTTAAACCCTTGTGCCGGCAGGACTGAAGACTGACAGGTCACAGGTTCGAAACTGGGGAGAGTGCGGATGAGCTCCCTCTGTCAGCTCTAGCTCTCAATGCGGGAACATGAGAGAAGCCTCCTACAAGGATGGTAAAATATCAAAACACCCTGACGTCCTCTGGGCAACGTCCTTGGCCAATTGTCTCACACCAGAAGCGACTTGCAGTTTCTCAAGGCAGGTTTGGGCCATAGTGGTACATATTGTGTCAGTGACATCGGCCACACAGCAAGGCAGGAACACGATCAATCACAGCCACTTTAGGCTATAAACTACTTTATTTTACAGCTATATACATTAGAAGCTACTTAACACTAAGCACACCATAAAACTTGCTTCTCACCGTCCAATCATAACATCACAAACACACGAACTGCTGTTATCAGTACTAGTCCACACCTCTTTAATTCCAGAGTGACTGTGTCCATTTGCTCTATACACTTGATTTATGACCTCTCTAGGAATGCCGTTCCCTCCATGGTTCAGTTAACTCTTTCCACACAAGAATATACTCGGCACATAACTACTGTATTTTAAACATACATACATATTTTGAAATCTACATTACAAATTGCAAACAACTTCAACATATTGGAGCACCCCAACCTGTGTTTCTCCAGAGGGAATGCAGCCCCCAAATCCAGAACATGTAAATATCCCCGAAAGCACCACGATACAATGTGCAAGTCATGCGTTGCTTCCCCTTTTCTTCTGGTTTCTCTGGAATCATACCATTCCTTGACTTCTCCTTCCTTCTCTTGAGCCAATGGACTGTCCTTGCCTTCCCTCACAGGGGTGTCGGTCAATGCGCTCCATCCAGGCATTGTTAAGACAGAGATCATGCGCTACTACAGCTGGTGGGCCCGCCTGCTCTTCAACATCTGTTCCATTTTTCTCAAGGTGAGGCTGGACAGAGCATGGCTCTCTGCACAGGTGCAAGGGAAGCAATAGAGCTGGGTTGTGCCTTATAGGAGAGACACTGTGGGACCCAGTGGGTTGACCTTGGTGGGTGGCCTTGGTGGAGGTGGCTGCCGTCAGATAGTGTATGGGTTGTGTTGTGACTCAGGTGGAACCCACAGAATGTCTCTGAGGAACCAGAGAGTGTCTCTGATGGGGATGATGGAACTCAGGTTCACAGTCTGGTTCAAAATGCCCCTGTTATAGACAGTGAAGAAGTGCAATTTCCCCCAGCAAGGAATGAGAGTGTTGATACTGAAAATAGCCAGGCCCAGGTGCAGATTGACTCAGAGAAGGAGGACAGTTCTCAGCCTGATAACGAGCAAGCAGGGAAACAGGCTGACACTAACGAACAGACTCACCTTGATGAAATGGGAACCTTAGCTTGGGCTGACTGTTTGGAATTCAGAGTTGGAAGGAGTGTGAGAATAACTAACAGGAAGGAGGCCAGAGAAATGCCTTCATGTTTTGCAAAGGGTATTGAGCTGTGTGTTTGCAACCAAGTCACCAAATTGGTTTGCAACGACACCAAATTGGGAGGGATAGCCAATACTCCAGAGGACAGGAGCAGAATTCAATACGATCTTGACAGATTAGAGAGATGGGCCAAAACTAACAAAATGAAGTTCAACAGTGACAAATGCAAGATACTCCACTTTGGCAGGAAAAACGAAATGCAAAGATACAGAATGGGGGACAATGCCTGGCTCGAGAGCAGTACGTGTGAAAAAGATCTTGGAGTCCTCGTGGACAACAAGTAAAACATGAGCCAACAATGTGATGTGGCGGCAAAAAAAGCCAATGGGATTTTGGCCTGCATCAATAGGAGCATAGTGTCTAGATCTAGGGAAGTCCTGCTCCCCATGCTCTTTTCTGCTTTGGTTAGACCACACCTGGAATATTGTGTCCAATTCTGGGCACCACAATTCAAGAGAGATATTGACAAGCTGGAATGTGTCCAGAGGAGGGCGACTAAAATGATCAAGGGTCTGGAGAACAAGCCCTATGAGGAGCGGCTTAAGGAGCTGGGCATGTTTAGCCTGAAGAAGAGAAGGCTGAGAGAAGGATAGCCATGTATAAATATGTGAGAGGAAGCCACAGGGAGGAGGGAGCAAGCTTGTTTTCTGCTTCCTTGGAGACTAGGACGCGGAACAATGGCTTCAAACTACAAGAGAGGAGATTCCATCTGAACATGAGGAAGAACTTCCTGACTGTGAGAGCCGTTCAGCAGTGGAACTCTCTGCCCCGGAGTGTGGTGGAGGCTCCTTCTTTGGAAGCTTTTAAACAGAGGCTGGATGGCCATCTGTCAGGGTGCTTTGAATGCAATATTCCTGCTTCTTGGCAGAATGGGGTTGGACTGGATGGCCCATGAGGTCTCTTCCAACTCTTTGATTCTATGATTCTATGATTCTCTGTCCTCCATCCACCAGCAAGCAAAGACCTCACGTCATTGTCCAAACAGGTATTTAGCATTGGCTGGAGGTGGCAGAAACTGAAGCTGGGAAGCCAGATGCTCTGGTCAGTCCCCTTCTGGAACTGACCAGATGCCCTTTGGGGGAGCCCATAAGAACCTTCTCCTCCAGTGGCAATACACCTCCAGGTGTAGGAGATATATGGCTTCGGCCCAGCTTACTTGTCCAAACGTATCTCCCTCTACGTTCTGCCTCATAGTTTAAGATCCATCAGGGAGGCCCTACTCTCAGTCCCACCGGCCTCGTAAACACGTTTGGTGGGGACGAGGGTCTAGGCCAGTGGTTCTCAACGTTCCTAATGCTGCGATCCCTTAATACAGTTCCTCATGTTGTGGTGACCCCCAGTCACCAAACACAAACCGCTGTTATCAGTACTAGTCCACACCTCATGTTGTGGTGACCCCCAGTAAATTATTTTTGTTGCTACTTCATAATTGTAATTTTGCTCCTGTTATGAATCGTTATGTAAATATCTGATATGCAGGATGTATTCTCATTCACTGGACCAAATTTGGCACAAATACCCAATATGCCCAAATTTGAATACTAGTGGGGTTGGGATGGGAGGATTGGTGGGAGGATGGGAGGATGGGGTTTGGTGGGCGTTGACCTTGAGTTTGGGAGTTGTAGTTCAGCTACATCCAGAGAGCACTGTGGGCTCAAACAATGATGGGTCTGTACCAAACTTGGCACAAATACTCAATATTCCCAAATATGTACACTGGTGAAGTTTGGGGGAAATAGACCTTGACATTTGGGAATTGTAGTTGCTGGGATTTATAGTTCACCTACATTCAAAGAGCATTCTGAACTACACGAACAATGGACTTGAACCAAACTTGGAACACAGAATTCCCATGACCAACAGAAAATACTGGAAGGGTCTGGTGGGCATTGGCCTTGGGTTTTAGAGTTGTCGTTCGGCTACATCCAGAGAGCACTGTGGACTCAAACAATGATGGACCAGGCACAGATTAACACCTCCCAGCAAGAGATTTTCCCAGGCTCAGGCAGGCCTTCAAATGCTAATGAAGGTGATCAGCTGAACATTCACACCTACTGCAGCAGGGAAGAGCTCCTTGCCCCACCCCAGCCATTCCACAGATATATAAACCCATTGTCCTAATTCCAACAGACTTCACTACCTCTGAGGATGCTTGCCATAGATGCAGGCGAAACGTCAGGAGAAATGCCTCTAGAACATGGCCCTATAGCCCGAAAAAACCCACAAGAACCTAGTGATTCCAGCCATGTAGTTCGCCTAGATCCAGAGAGCACTGTGGACTCAAACAATGATGGATCTGGATCAAACTTGGCACGAATACTCAATATGCCCAAATGTGAGCATTGGTGAAGTTCGGGGGAAATGGACCTTGACATTGGTGAGTTGTAGTTGCTGGGATTTATAGTTCACCTACTACCAAAAAGCATACTGAAGCCCACCAATGATAGAATTAGGCCAAACTTCCCACACAGAACTCCCATGACCAACAGAAAATACTGTCTGTGATGGTCTTTGGCGACCCCTCTGACACCCCCTTGTGACCCCTTCAGGGGTCCCGACCCCCAGGTTGAGAACCACTGGTCTAGACACTACACTCCTATTGATGCAGGCCAAAATCCCATTGGTTTTTTTTGCCGCCGCATCACATTGTGTGCTCATGTTTAACTTGCTGTCCACGAGGACTCCAAGATCTTTTTCACACGTCCTGCTCTCAAGCCATGCACCCCCATACTGAAACGTTGCATTTCATTTTTTTTCTGTCTAAGTGGAGTATCTTGCATTTGTCACTGTTGAACTTCATTTTGTTAATTTTGGCCCATCTTGAGAGGGTACCCATGAGAAACCCCTTCCCCACCTTGTGTTGACCCCTCCTCCTGTTCTTCCACAGACACCAAAAGATGGAGCGACCAGCACGATCTACTGCGCCGTCTCCCAGCAAGTGGAGGGCATTTCTGGGAAGTACTTTGACAGCGACTGCAGCCTGGCCGTGCCCCTGCCCCTCGCAGAAGACCCGGCCATCGGGCGCAAGTTCTGGGAGGCGGCAGAGAGAGTGACGGGCCTGGGAGGGGCAGGGGAGAAGCTCGGGGGGAAGAAGTGATCACCCCAAAACAGCACAAAACTCTGGAAGGCCAGTCTGGCTTCTCCAAGACCTCTTGCTTGAGTTGCCATTCTGCCCCTCGAAGGAGGAGAGGCAGCATCGTGCCCCATGGATCCATTGGGTATTTGTTTTCTGTGTTTGCCCATGTCCTTTTTTGTCTTACAGCAACCTTAAAGGCAGATCTATCAAGGGGTTTCTTGCCACGAGTGGCTTTGCATCATACTCCCTCTTTGGTGGCTAGCCCAGCAAGAGCAGAGACTGCTTATTGAAAAGGCAGCATTTCTATGTCAGTGTTGTATGTCAGTCTGTGATTGTGTCTGATGATCATGTTGATGTGCATGATGGGAATGGGGATGTTGATTCTGTTTCCGGGCCAAGGTCTGGGGATGAGAGGCCAGAGTTGCTGCAAGAGGATTCCCAAGGTCTCAAGCTTGGGAAAGGCTTTGCACCGCATTTCTCTGATCAGTTATTTAGGAATATTATTTGGCAAGGAAACTAGTCCAATGTGGGCTAGGCAAAACTACGGTGAGGTGGATCTGTAATTAGTTAAATGGACGAACCCAGAGGGTGCTCACCAATGCTTCCTCTTCATCCTGGAAAGAAGTGACGAGTGGAGTGCCATCAGCAGGGTTCCGTCCTGGGCCCGGTCCTGTTCAACATCTTTATTAATGACTTAGATGAAGGGTTAGAAGGCAGGATCATCAAGTTTGCAGACGACACCAAATTGGGAGTGATAGCCAATACTCCAGAGGACAGGAGCAGAATTCAAAACGATCTTGACAGATTAGAGAGATGGGCCAAAACTAACAAAATGAAGTTCAACAGTGACAAATGCAAGATACTCCACTTAGGCAGAAAAAATGAAATGCAAAGATACAGAATGGGGGACGCCTGGCTCGAGAGCAGTACGTGTGAAAAAGATCTTGGAGTCCTCGTGGACAACAAGTTAAACATGAGCCAACAATGTGATGTGGCGGCAAAAAAGCCAATGGGATTTTGGCCTGCATCAATAGGAGCCTAGTGTCTAGATCTAGGGAAGTCATGCTCCCTCTATTCTGCTTTGGTTAGACCACACCTGGAATATTGTGTCCAATTCTGGGCACCACAATTCAAGAGAGATATTGACCCTAAGCTGGAATGTGTCCAGAAGAGGGCGACTAAAATGATCAAGGGTCTGGAGAACAAGCCCTATGAGGAGTGGCTTAAGGAGCTGGGCATGTTTAGCCTGAAGAAGAGAAGGCTGAGAGGAGACATGATAGCCATGTATAAATATGTGAGGGGAGTCATAGGGAGGAGGGAGCAAGCTTGTTTTCTGCTGCCCTGGAGACTAGGACGTGGAACAATGGCTTCAAACTACAAGAAAGGAGATTCCATCTGAACATTAGGAAGAACTTCCTGACTGTGAGAGCCGTTCAGCAGTGGAACTCTCTGCCCTGGAGTGTGGTGGAGGCTCCTTCTTTGGAAGCTTTTAAACAGAGGCTGGATGGCCATCTGTCAGGGGTGATTTGAATGCAATCATTCCTGCTTCTTGGCAGAATGGGGTTGGACTGGATGGCCCAGGAGGTCTCTTCCAACTCTTTGATTCTATGAATGTAGTTGATTTCGAGCTCCCAGGTGTAGAAGTTAATGAGGGGAGTGTTGCACCTCAGCTGGGGTACACCTTGCTCAAGCACTCACCAGGAAGCCCAACGTAGAAGTAAACACACACAGTTGTTGTTCATTCGTTCAGTCGTTTCCGACTCTTCGTGACCTCAACGTAGAAGTAAACACACACAGTAAAAGAGTAAAAAATCAAAATCGGTAAGATAAAAGGAGTCTCACAAGACCAGAGACCAAACTCCAATGCAAAGGTTAAAACATGAATATAAATCCAAGGAGCAAGGTAAACTCATGAGCCTGAATAATCCAAAGATTAGGAAGAAAACATCCACTTAAGTGATCCAAGAATTAAAGAACAACACCTTAGCTTGGGTTCATGGTAAAATCCCCAAGACTTACAGCAAAACTTGACTTGAAGCGAGAACCAAAGCAAAAGATCCTTGCTCTAACTGCAAAGTTGTTTGATCTGAAAAACCGAAAGCAGTTTTCCCCCTTAATACAGACAGCATTTATTTATTTATTTACAGTATTTATATACCACCTTTCTCATCCCTGGGGGAACTCAAAGCAATGCATGAAAGCATTCCTTTGGCCCTTCAGCCACTTTTTCCCATTGCCTGACTAGCACCTAGACTTTTTCCCACGAATAAGCAATCTTGCCTCTCTATCTAATCTTTCTTCCAGCTTGTCATTCTGCAAAACAGTTTTGTTTTCACACAGAGTCCTCCGTTCTGCCAACTGGGGAATTGCCTTCCTGTTCCAACATCCCCTCTGTCTGAACAGGCTCTGCACCCCCAGACCCCGCGTCAACATCCTCAGCTGCTGGCCCTGCACCCCCAGACCCCTCATCAACATCCTCAGCTGCTGGCCCTGCACCCCCAGACCCTGCGTCAACATCCTCAGCTGCTGGCCCTGCACCCCCAGACCCCTCATCAACATCCTCAGCTGGCTGAGCTACTGTTGTGACTCATGGATCTGGACCAAACTTGGCACAAGCACTCAATATGCCCAAATATGAACACAGGTGGAGTTTGGGGGAAATAGACCTTGACATTTGGGAGTTGTAGTCACTGGGATTCACCGTTCACCTAAAATCAAAGAGAATTCTGAAGCCCATGAACGACAGAATTGGGGCAAACTTCCCACACAGAACCCCCATGACGAACAGAAAATACTTAAGGCCATCTAATCCAACTCCCTTCATCAAGGCAAGAAAACGTAATTAAAGTCCTCCTGACAAAGAGCCATCCAGCCATAGAGTCACAACAGTTCACTGACTTTTTATTGCTTTGGGCTTCTTATAATCTTGAACAAACTGCTTGCTGATTTTACCCAGCTGGTGTGGTGTATAAAGTCAGAGGTGATTCTGCTCTGGAGTATGAGAGTTTTACAGTTTGCAACCCACAGAAGTTTTATCCTGACACATTTCTCCCTTTGTTGCTTTGGCAAACCCTTCGACAAGTCAAGCCAAACACTGACACAAGGCTGATCCAAACAAGCTTTATTCAAAAATGCATAGAAAGATGTTTACAAAAATATGAACATATAAATTTAAGTGTAGTGTCTTATGTTATGTTTCTACGGCCTGCGCTTGATTTACACGTATGTTTTCATTTCCCCTTTCGTTCTGCAGTTCAAGGCTGAGAAAGGATGTGTGTGTTACTAAGGCTCCCTTTCTGCAACCTGCTGGCATGGTTCTCCTAGATATTGGGAGGGATACAGTCCCCACCGGCCACGTCTGTTTCCCCAAGATGTTTTGGACCTGCATGCATTGGGTAGCCCGTTGTCCACCCTGGAGCCGAGCTGAAGCACCCAGCCGAAACCCAGGAGGGTAGCAGCAGGAGCATTGCTCCCCAAGTACAAACTGTCCCACAACATGAACCTTTCCTTCAGTCCCCACATTTCTAACACTGCAGAGAGTGAGACACATGATACCCGTTCTCACCTAGAACAATTCCATTTACAGCAGGCATCCTCAAACTGTGGTCCTCCAATTACTTGGACCTCCAACTCCCAGAAGCCCTAATGAGCTTTTTCAATTGTCAGGAATTCTGGGAGCTGAAGAGCCAAACAGCTGGAGGGCTGCAGTTTGAAGATGCCTGATATTGGCAGTTGCCGAGCCTACTTGCTTGACTACCCCTTTGCTCTGAGGCTCTACTGAGATTTGAAGTGCATGCAGAAATTGGGAAGTGAAATATTTCCTGGGGAGTGGAATTCTTATAGAGCAGTGGTTCTCAACCTGGGGTCCCCAGATGTTTTTTGCCTTCAACTCCCAGAAATCCTAACAGCTGGTAATCTGGATGGGATTTATTGGAGTTGTAGGCCAAAAACATCTGGGGACCCCAGGTTGAGAACCACTGTTATAGAGGGAGGTGATGCCTGCATTTTGCTCCCTGCTCAAGGACTGGGAACGCATCCCAGCTCAAGGACTGGGATGCGTTCCTCCTTTAGAGATCATCTATAGCAGTGGTTCTCAACCTGGGGTCCCCACAAAGTGTCTGCCAAGACCCGATAAAGATGTTCTTGGCAACTATACATGGAAACACCTGTTAATGATTGTACTGCGTAAATGTCAGACATCAGCTGAGTTGATTTTATGCTATAAATACTGAAGAGATTGAGACCTCAAGCTGTGACAGCCCTTTGCTCGCTGTACACCCTACTCTGCAGAGATAGAAATAAAAAAGCCTGGAAATCGGACATGCTGTCTCCATCCTCTTCCTTCTCCTAAAGCACTCGAATGAATTTCCGGGTAACGTGTTCCGCAACATTTTTAGCCTTCAACTCCCAGAAATCCTAACAGCTGGTAAACTGGCTGGGATTTCTGGGAGTTGTAGGCCAAAAACATCTGGGGACCCCAGGTTGAGAACCACTGACCTACACCATCCACTGGCCACCAACAATGTGGTCCCAAAGCAGGGATGTGGTGCAGAAGGGTCAAATGACATGTGGCAACGCAGCCAGGCCCAGCTCAATAAAACTGGCTTGCAGTTCTGACCTGGTATTCTGGTTTTCTGAAATGGAACTGCCAACGTGGGCAAAACATACAGGAGGAAAGGAAGCTCAGTGGTTAACCTTTCTCCAACTCCTCCCTGCTCCTTTTTCCTTGCCCTTTCAAGGCCGCACCTTCTCCTCCTTTGGGGCTAGGGTCATAGAGGTCACGCTTGGGCTGTGTTGTCAAATTCAGGGCAAGGCCCAGTTTGGGTTTGAGTCTGGGGTGGGGGTGTTCCTCACTTCCACTCGATGCGCAGCTCCAGGCCTTCCCTGCTGACCCGCCGGAGCAACGCTTCGTAGTCCTTCCGGTAGATGTCTGGGCAGCGGTCCAAAACAAGAGAGCGGAGAGGGTTCTCCAGGGAAAGGATCCGGTGGATGGTGCCGCTGGAGACTTTGCACTCGACCATTGAAAGGTCAATGAGGTGAAGGAGGGCTGCGGTGGCGCCGGGGGCCCCCAGCACCTCCTCAAAGACCCCGTCCAGGGAGAAGGGCAGGCCGAACAGCATCACGTACTCCAGGCGAGGGGAGCCCTTCAGCAGAGAGACCAGGCTCGCCGCCAAGCCCAGGGTCTCTGGGGGATCCTTGGAATCCAACAAGTCGGAAAAGGTGAGGTGGAACTCCTGAAGTTGAGGGAAGGCTAAGGGGGGCAGACTAGCGACCTGGGCCAAGGCCTCCTCGCTGGGGCTGCCTTTCATCAAGTGGTCGAGGGAAGCGAAGAACGACTTGAGGTTTGGGCAGTGGCTCAAGAGGACATGGAGGGACACTTCATCGTCCAAGGAGAAGCCCTCCAGAGAGAGGGTCTCCAGCTGGGTCCCCAGGCGCGCCGTGACAGGAAGCAACTCCTCCAGCCGCCGGAGCCAGCACTCCAGGCTGAGGCTGGTGAGGGAGCCCCAGGGCAGCAACCGCCGGGCCAGGCAAGAGCGCTCCTCCAGAACCACTGTGGCCTTCGCCATGTGTGGGCACACAGCAAGGATGGTGGACAAGCAGGACTCCGGCACGTCCAGGATCTCTTTCAGAGGCAGCTTGAGCTGGGAGCGGGGACCGCTTGGGTGCAGAGAATCCCAGCGCTTCACCAGTTCCGGCATGGAGGGAAAACCAGCGGGAACCTGGGCACCACGGAAGTTTCGGTCATGGATGAGGCACACGGCATCTGTGGTAGTCTCGCTCTGCAAGACGATCAGATTGGGCAGAGCCAGGAGCACGTAGGCCAAGGCCCAGGGCAGGTCATCACAGCGCGGGCTGCTCTGCATACCGTCAACATTCAGATTCTGCAAGGTTGGGGAGCAGAAGGCGCTGGCTGTGGGGTCATAGACCAGGTGGAAGAGGGAGGCCGGAGAGAGTTTCTTGCACTCGGAGACATCCAGCTCGCGAAGCCTCCGGCAGGTGGAGCCCACGGCAGACAGGACCTGAGTGTTGCACTGGGTCCCTGAAAGGGTCAGCCTGGTGAGACCGGGCAAGCCTTCAACGAGGTCAACCAGTGCATCTGTGGGAACCCGGCTGCAGCCGTCAAGATCCAGCGAAGTCAAATTCTGGCCCCAGGAAATTGGGGTAGAAAAGATGGAAGGGAGGAGAGGGGAGTGAGTTAGAGAGAAAGAAAGGGTCATTATAGCCATTTATTATTTATTTATTAAAAACATTTATATTCCACCCTTCTCACCCCGAAGGAGACTCAGGGCGGAGCACAGCATATACACGGCAAACATTCAATGCCAGGACACAAATTCACATACAGTACATAAACATTAAAAAACATTTATCAAAATATTAAAATACACCATTTAAAACCGTCCTAGCCATCCGCATCAAATCTAATTGGCCTGGTCATCTTTCCTATCGCTGCTTTCCTGCCCTGTCCCGAAAGCTTGGTCCCACATCTAAGTTTTTACCATCCTTCTAAAGGACAGGAGGGAAGGTACCGACCTGATCTCACCAGGAAGGGAGTTCCATAGCCGGGGAGCAATCACCGAGAAGGCCCTGTCTCTCGTCCCCACCAATCACGCCTGTGACAATGGTAGGACAGAAAGCAGGGCCTCCCCAGAGGATCTTAATCTCCGTGATGGTTCATAAGGGGAGATGCGTTCGGACAGGTAAATTGGGCTGGGGCCGTTTAGGGCTTTATAGACCAAAGCCAGCACGTTGAATTGTGCCTGGTAGCAAACTGGCAGCCAGTGGAGCTGGCGCAACATGGGAGTTGTATGCTCACTGTACGCCATCCCAGTTATTAACCTGGCTGCCTCTCGTTGGACTATTTGAAGCTTCCAAGAAGTCTTCAAGGGCAACCCCCCGTAGAGTGTGTTGCAGTAGTCTATCCTAGATGTAACGAGAGTGAGGACCACCGTGGCCAAGTCTGACTTCCCAAGGTACGGGCACAGCTGGCGCACAAGTTTTAATTGTGCGAAAGCTCCCCTGACCACCGCTGCAACCTGGGATTCCAGGCTCAGTGATGAATCCAGGAGGACCACAAGCTGTGAACTTGGGCCTTCAAGGGGAGTGTGACCCCGTCCAGCACAGGCTGTGACCCTATACTCTGTTTGGCCTTGCAACTGACCAGGAGGACCTCTGTCTTGTCTGGATTCAACTTCAACGTGCTCGCCCTCATCCAGACCGTCACAGCAGCCAGCCACCGGTTCAGGACTTGGACAGCCTCCTTCGCATCTGGTGGAAATGAGTGATAGAGTTGGATGTCATCTACGTACAGATGACATCGAACTCCAAAACTCCGGATGATCTCACCCAGCGGCTTCATGTAGATGTTAAACAACATGGGGGTCAATACTGAGCCCTGCAGGACCCCACAGGACAATGGCTGTGGGGCCGAGCAGGAGTCGCCCAGCAACATTTATAGCCATTGTTTGCTCTTTTTGGGCTCCCCTCAATTATATATTTTCTTTCCTATCTCATCCAGGGTTTTATCATTTTACCTTGTCCATTTGCCCTGCCCATTTTGCTTGATTTTATAATGTATTAATTTTGCTCCAGTCCAACCCCCTGCCAAGAAGCAGGAATATTGCATTCAAATCACCCCTGACAGATGGCCATCCAGCCTCTGTTTAAAAGCTTCCAAAGAAGGAGCCTCCACCACACTTGGAATATTGTGTCCAATTTTGGGCACCACAATTCAAGAGAGATATTGACAAGCTGGAATGTGTTCAGAGGAGAGCGACTAAAATGATCAAAGGTCTGGAGAACAAGCCATATGAGGAGTGGCTTAAGGAGCTGGGCATGTTTAGCCTGAAGAAGAGAAGGCTGAGAGGAGATATGATAGCCATGCATAAATATGTGAGAGGAAGCCACAGGGAGGAGGGAGCAAGCTTGTTTTCTGCTTCCCTGGAGACTAGGACGCAATGGAACAATGGCTTCAAACTACAAGAGAGGAGATTCCACCTGAACATGAGGAAGAACTTCCTGACTGTGAGAGCCGTTCAGCAGTGGAACTCTCTGCCCCGGAGTGTGGTGGAGGCTCCTTCTTTGGAAGCTTTTAAACAGAGGTTGGATGGCCATCTGTCAGGGGTGCTTTGAATGCAATATTCCTGCTTCTTGGCAGAATGGGGTTGGACTGGATGGTGGCCCAGGAGGTCTCTTCCAGCTCTTTGATTCTATGATTCTAATTATTTTATTTTGCTACTGCATGTATTTTATTCTGATGTAATTTTTTGTTGTCTGCATTCTGTATTTTATTTTATTTTGCGGTAATGTATTGTCAGGCTTGGCCTCATGTTAGCCGCCCCGAGTCCCCTTTGGGAAGATAGTGGTGGGGTACAAATAAATATTAGTATTATTATTTATTTTGACTGAGCAATGATCCCTCACAAACTAATACCCATGCCAACATAAAGGAAGATCTGATAGTGAAGAATGGGAAGCCCAACCTTGCCAGCAAAGCAGGAAGGAAACCAATAGTCAGACAACAAGATAATAGAACAACAACCTTCATGAACCTCTTATATCTACCGAATTGGACATGGCTCTCAATACATGTAAAAATGGCAAAGCAGCCAGCCTGGATGATCTACGGATAGAACAAATCAAGAACTTTGGCCCAAAAGCAAGGTTCTGGCTGCTGGAGCTGATGAACAACTGCACTGCATCCTGTCAGATCCCCAAAATCTGGAGGAAAGCAAGTGTCATAGCCATCTTGAAGCCAGGCAAAGACTGTAACGACCCAAAAAACTATAGATCAATCTCCTCATTGTGCCACCTTTACAAAATAAATAAATAACCTGGGAAGGAATCCCACTAGAGCATTGCAGCGCACCCAAATACTTAAGAGTTACCCTGGACCATGCTCTGACCTACAAGAAGCACTGCCTGAATAACAAGGAAAAAGTGAGCGCTAGAAACAATATCATACGAAAGCTGACTGGCACAACCTGGGGATCAAAACCAGACACAGTGAAGACATCTGAATTTGCGCTATGCTACTCCGTTGCTGAATACAAATGCCTGGTCTGGAACCATAGCACCATGCTAAAACAGTGGATGTGACTTTTAATGAGACATGCTTCATTATCACACCACTGGAGAAATTATACTGTTTAGCTAATATCGCACCACACGACATTTGCTGGGAACTAGCAGGACCAAGGCATTGAGATCTTTGGCCCATCCTCTGTTCATATAGCAGACAGCATGCCAACGTCTTAAATCAAGAAACAGCTATTAGCGTCAGCAGAAGTTTTGCACAAGCTTGGAAGAAAACATGGACTCTGGAGACATCGGGTTACAAAGCACGTTCAATTTCACTTAGAGCAGTTCCAAAACACAACCATTACAGTAAGCGAGCAGACATGAAGTACACAGTACGCCGGACAAAGGAAGTTGAAGATGTAAACAAACTTGCAGCTGGTTGGCAGATATCAGACACTCCCTAATTTTCTCACAGTTACACACAGAGAGTGTCTCAGGGTTACTTTCTCACAGCCTCTAATATAAACATACATCCTAGCAATACAATCATCTGCCAACCATATTTCTACTGCATGAAATTTCATTTAAACACATAACATACATCAACATACACAGACAACAGCTTCCTAAGATCTACAGAGATACTTGCAGGAACACCTCAGCAAGCGAGAGTCCAAAAGTGGCAGGTGAAAACCCATTTCTCCCCTCAAACCAATTTTTGTGCTGCTGGCGTGGCTGCTAGAATTGTGACGTCCTCAGACTGTGGCCCTATCTTGACTGGGGGGTGGGAATAATGCATAAGATTTTTATAGCCCTTGATAAGGTAAAAAGAAGGAAACCTGATGATAAAGTAGTTGATGTGACAGAAGGAAGGAGTGGAGGAGCCACTGCTTTGTGGAGACTACATGCCCCCCAATGTGGCCATCCCACAGACCCACCCAGGTCCACTTGGAGGGGTCAGTGGAGGGAGCAAGTGAACAAAGTGCTTTTGAAAGAGATCCAGGTGTTTTCCCTTGTGCCCTCAAGCGCCAGGCAGATGCAAACCTGGTTCTAAGACCCAGATGATAATACACAAGACGGGAGGCAGGCTCACCCCCCTCGCTCCGGCCACTTCCACTCCCCGCTCACCTTGCAGCGCACGGTCACCATCTGGGTGATGGTGTTGCTGACCAGCTTTGGGCAGGGGGCCAAGCGCAGCTCTGTCAGGTGGGGCACCAGGAGGAGGTGCAGCATGGCGCGGGTCACGCGCTTTCCCAGCAACTGGATCAGCTCTTGGACCAGGGAGCCAGCTGAAGGCAGGCGGGTGGGAAGAGAGAAGAAACCCAGAGGTTAACTCAGGATCCACGGGACACATATTTGCTTCTGACTACTTGCAGACAATCTTAACACTCTTGGTGGTACTTTCCTCAGATATCATAGCCTGTGTTTACCATCATAGAAAGTACTTACCTCACAGACTACAGCCATGATGCCGAACCTATGACACGCGTGTCAGCACTGACACATGTAACCATTTTTGATGGCACGCGGCCATATACTTTTGTGAGACCTTACTCTCAGTGTTAAATAATATCAAAACCATCAAAAGAAACAGACTGACAGATGATGTTAGTAGCACTTGCTTGGGCTTGAAGTGTACAAAATGCCAACCTTCAATTGAAGATTTAGTCCATGAAATTCAGCAACAAAAAAGTCACTAATAAGCAGCTTAGTTAAAGAATTTTCCCTCCCCCTCACTTATCTTAGTTTACGGCAACCCACACAAGTTAAATAATATCAAGACCAACAAAAGAAACTGACTGAAGGATGAACAAAGAAGTCACTAAGTGTTGGGGTTCAGCCTGCGTGTGAACCTGAACCTGATTCTCTGATTGTATTTCCTGATGCTACTGAACATGTATTTTTTCCTGATGGTAATGAAAATGTTGATTCTGAGGTCAGTGGCTTGGAAAGTGAAACTGTTTCAGAGCCAAGCGGTGATAGCTCTCCAGAGGAGTTAACATCTGGCTTCCTTAATGATAGAAAAGGACAAATCTGGAAAAACAGGAGTGAATCGCAGAGTCTGCGAAGGTCAAGCAGATTAAGGGAGAAGGAAACACAGGCTTCAAAGCCTGGAGGCGTTTCACGAAACAGTTGCAGAGCCAAGTGGTGATAGCTCTTCAGAGGAGTTAACACCTGGCTTCCTTAATGAGGATAGAAAAGGACAGATTTGGAAAAACAGGAGTGAATCGCAGAGTCTGCGAAGGTCAAGCAGATTAAGGGAAAAGGACGCACAGGCTTCAAAGCCTAGAGGCGTGTCACGAAATAGTTTCTTCAGTTTTAAGTGCCTCTCGCTGGGTTGTCTCGTTAGATCAGGCATCGTTTAGACTGAGGCATTACCTTGGCAGATTTCCCTGCTTCCCGTGGCCTACATCCCAAGAGGCTTCTAGTGCTCCAAGTACGGTTAGTGGTTTGCTAACAGGTTCCAGGTTCTTACAGTGTTGCTTTTGGATGTTCATGGATATTCCTGACTGCTGAATTTTACTGTGGCTTTTTGACTTTGCATTTTCCTCTATTTTGTAACCATTTTTCATCAATAAAAAGGGATTGTTTTTCCCACAGTCAAGTGTGGTGGATTGTTATCTCAGGGTCTCGTTTCCTGCTCTGGGTTGCAACACTAAGCAGGTAAGTTAAATAATTAGTTTTTGGGTTATTAAATACGGTTATATATTACAATTATGCATTTTTTGTTATTTAAACTATAACTATCACAAAATTATGGGTTTTTTTCTCAAAGTGACACCCCACCTGAATTATGCTCGCTTTTTTGGTGAATTTTGACACACCAAGCTGAAAAGGTTGCCCATCACTGGACTACAGCCTTGTCCTTTACCTCAGAGCACATACCATCATTATACCTCATAGACTCCTGATATCTATACTTACCTCAGAGTTTATACCTTATATCTGTACTCCACCATTCTAATCCTGTATCATTTTAATAATCAAACTGCGCCTTTGTAATACTTTGTTTTGATTCACCTTTATTGAGTTCTGACATAAATTCTCTCTGTTTGTTTCAGTAAACTTAATTGGTTTAATATAATCTCGTCTCCAGAGTCTTGTTTTAAAGAATTAAAGTACATATAGGGCAGTGGTTCTCAACCTTCCTATTGCCGTGACCCCTTAATACAGTTCCTCGTGTTGTGGTGACCCCCAACCATAACATTATTTTTGTTGCTACTTCATAACTTTAATTTTGCTCCTGTTATGAATCATAATGTAAATATCTGATATGCAGGATGTATTTTCATTCACCAGACCAAATTTGGCACAAATACCCAATTCACCCAAATTTGAATACTGGTGGTGTTGGAGGGGATTGATTTTGTCCTGTGGGAGTTATAGTTGCTGGGATTTATAGTTCACCTACAATCAAAGAGCATTCTGAACTCCACCAACGATAGAATTGAACCAAACTTAGCACACAGAAATCCCATGACCAACAGAAAATACTGGAAGGGTTAGGTGGGCATCGACCTTGTAGTTCACCTACATCTAGAGAGCACTGTGGACTCAAACAATGGAGGATCTGGACCAAACTTGGCATGGATACTCAATATGCCCAAATGTGAACAGTGGTGGAGTTTGGGGAAAATAGACCTTGAGATTTGGGTAGCTAATGGGATTTAAAGTTCACCTACAACCAAAGAGCACTCTGAACCCCACCAATGATAGAACTGGGCCAAATCTCCCACACAGAACCCCCATGACCAACAGAAAGTACTGTGTTTTCTGATGGTCTTTGGTGACCCCTCTGACACCTCCTCATGACTCCCAGGTTGAGAAACACTGATATAGGGCATACCGATGGTCACTGGGAAAATAGCCAGACACGTATAGTTTTCTTTCAATTCCCGGCGTGCCATCACAGTACTCCCCAAGTCACATGCCCAGAGGGATACACGTTCCCTTTGCCCTCCCCTGACCCCCTCCCCTGCCTGGCTGTTGCTCACCCAGTTCACTGAAGGGCCCCTGGATGTAGCGGAACTGGTATTCATCCAGGTATTTGTCTGTGTAATCCTTGGCCCAGACGCACTGCATGTTCGCAGCGATGTTCTCCAGGCAGAGCCTCTGGAGCGACCGGTGGATTTTCTTCCTGGGCATGATGAGGATTGTGGTGATGCTGTGGCAGAGAAAAGCAGGAAGGGAAAACAAGAGGGTTGGTGCGAAGAATGCAGCAAGTTTTGTTTATGGAGAAGCTACTCATTGTACTAACATCAAATGGGAGCTCTTTTCTCCTACTGCTGACTTGCATATAAAGAACAACAACAACAACAAAACTTTATTTATATACCGCTCTATCTCTCCGAGGGGACTCAGAGCGGTTTCCAAGTAACATCATCAATACATACAGAGTAAATAACACAACTGTAAGATTAACAAAACAATATAAGCATAAAAAATTGTCACAATAACACATCTATATAAATAAAAATGTAATGTTCGTTTGTGGGATTCACAGAACTCAAAAACTACTGGACGAATTGACACCAAATTTGGACACAAGACACCTAACAACCCAATGTATGTCCTTCACTCAAAAAGGATTGATTTTGTCATTTGGGAGTTGTAGTTGCTGGGATTTATAGTTCACCTACAACCCCACCAACGATAGAATTGGGCCAAACCTCCCACACAGAACCCCCATGTGGGCCACAGCAACATGTGGCAGGGGACGACTAGTATATATTAAAAGTAATCCTGTCTGTTCAAGGCAATTTAAAAGGCCGGAACGAAATTTGTGCAAGCTCATAGTTTCTAGGGGGCCGGGAATTAAGAGCAGTGCTATAGCAGGCAACAACAAGAGTAGGTAGGGGTCTATGGCTGTTCATTTCCGGGTCCTATTAGAGGAAACGGCCTGGGTAATTGGTAGGAAGAATAAAGCCATGTTCAACAATGTCTACGGCTGAGCTAGGACTAGTCATTCTCCAAAGCTTGTTGAAACCACCAGGTCTTCAAGCTCTTACAAAAGGAGGGGAGGGATGGGGCCTGTCTAATTTCCCTGGGGAGGACATTCCAGAGATGGGGGGCCACCACCGAGAAGGCCCTCTCTCTCATCCCCACCAACTGTACTTGGGATGGTGGCAGGAACGAAAGGAGAGCCTCCCTGGACGATCTTAAGAATTCACGCTGGTTCACAGACGGTGATGCGATCGCAATGATAGGCGCGGCCAGAACCATTTAGGGTTTTATAGGTCATAACTTGCACCTGTAACCCAAGGCAGCCTTTCTTCGCCTGGTGCTTGTCTCATGCCAGGATTATAGCTCCCACAAAGAGGGAGCACTGGATGGGAACTGCTAAACAAAATGCCTGGCGGCCAGAGCGCTGACAAAGGCTGCTCTACGAGCCCAAATGTTAGGAGGACATACAGTATAATATAACTTTTGCATGTAATACACTAGCAGCCTTCTTGCAGCAACACCAGAAGCACTCCAAGTGTCCAGATACTGGTCAAAGGACATTTAATCAACTACAAAACTGGATATTATCATTGCACTCTGGACCTGGCGGGTTGGCCGGCGCCGGAGAGATTATTGACATTACAGTTAATTTTAAATCTTTCAATGAACCTTTGGGAGCTTCGTAAATTGAGGTTCATGTTTATATGGTTAGATATAATTTTACTGTTCAATTATTTGTGTAATTTTAGCTCTTCTGTTGTAATGAGTTGTTTATTGTTGGTTTGCTTTGGGATTGGTTGGGTTGTTAATGTATAGAGTCACAGAGTTGGAAGAGACCTCATGAGCCATCCAGTCTAACCCCTTTCCACCAGGAAGCAAGAAAATCACACTCGACGGATGGCCATCCAGCCTCTGCTTAAAAGCCTCTAAAGAATGAACCTCCACCACATTCCGGGGCAGAGAGTTCCACTACTGAACATAATAATAATAATAATAATAATAATAATAGAATGATAGAATCCTAGAGTTGGAAGAGACCTCGTGGGCCATCCAGTCCAACCCCATTCTGCCAAGAAGCATAGAATCATAGAATCAAAGAGTTGGAAGAGACCTCATGGGCCATCCAGTCCAACCCCCTGCCAAGAAGCAGGAATATTGCATTCAAATCACCCCTGACAGATGGCCATCCTGCCTCTGTTTAAAAGCTTCCAAAGAAGGAGCCTCCACCACACTCCGGGGCAGAGTTCCACTGCTGAACGGCTCTCACAGTCAGGGAGTTCTTCCTCGTGTTCAGATGGAATCTCCTCTCTTGTAGTTTGAAGCCATTGTTCCGCGTCCTAGTCTCCAAGGAAGCAGAAAACAAGCTTGCTCCCTCCTCCCTGTGGCTTCCTCTCACATATTTATACATGGCTATCATATCTCCTCTCAGCCTTCTCTTCTTCAGGCTAAACATGCCCAGCTCCTTAAGCCGCTCCTCATAGGGCTTGTTCTCCAGACCCTTGATCGTTTTAGTCGCCCTCCTCTGGACACATTCCAGCTTGTCAATATCTCCTTGAATTGTGGTGCCCAGAATTGGACACAATATTCCAGGTGTGGTCTAACCAAAGCAGATAGAGGGGTAGCATTACTTCCCTAGATCTACACACTATGCTCCTATTGATGCAGGCCAAAATCCCATTGGCTTTTTTTGCCGCCACATCACATTGTTGGCTCATGTTTAACTTGTTGTCCACGAGGACTCCAAGATCTTTTTCACACGTACTGCTCTCGAGCCAGGCATTGTCCCCCCATTCTGTATCTTTGCATTTCGTTTTTCCTGCCAAAGTGGAGTATCTTGCATTTGTCACTGTTGAACTTCATTTTGTTAGTTTTGGCCTCATCTCTCTAATCTGTCAAGATCGTTTTGAATCCTGCTCCTGTCCTCTGGAGTCTTGGCTATCCCTCCCAGTTGTTTATTAATTGTGCAATGTGTTAAGTTGATACCTGTTTTTATACTATAACATTGAATTCTGCTGTCTCTTATTGCTGTGAACCACTGTGAGTCGCCTTCGGGCTGAGAACAGCAGTATATAAGTAAGGTAAATAAATAAATATTAGAAACCAACACTTTCTCATTACTTTATTTCGCAGATCAACAGACTGGGCCACAGCAACGCCTGGCAGGGGACAGCTAGTAATAAATAAGAAGTAAAATCCTAGAGTTGGAAGAGACCTCGTGGGCCATCCAGTCCCATTCTGCCAAGAAGCAGGAAAATCACATTCAAAGCACCCCAACAGATGGCCCTCCAGCCTCTACTGGGCGTTGACCAGGCCTTTAGGCCTTCTCAGTCAAAGAAGGCCAAGCCAGCACTTCCAGGATCCCACAGCATGGAGCCAAGGCACTTAAATCACTTTCTAACCGCATCCATTCATTCCCCAGTGTAGAGCCCACATCTTACCCGGAGCTGGAGGCAATCCGTGCCTTTCAGGCGGAGAAAACAGCGGGAAAGCACCTTCTTGGCAGCAGGTCTCTTCCTAACCGGAAGCGAGCCAACTTCCGGTTCCCTATCTGCGTTTTCTGGGATGAGTTTTACGTTAGCCCCGCCCCTTTTCGCTCCACTTCCGCGTTTGCTCATATCCTCTCCGGTACCCGGATGTTAGAGGCCTCGCCTCTTTCTTGTCATGGCTTCATAAGCTTTACAGCGCCTGCGCCGTTTTACTTTAGCCCCGCCCCTTTCTACTCCCCTTCCGCGTTTGCTCATATCCTCTCCGGTACCCGGATGTGAGAGGCCCCGCCTCTTTCCTTTGCGTGGCTTCATAAGCTTAACAGCGCCTGCGCAGACCTTACCAAAGGGCAAGGGTTCTGCTTACAGCGCCTGCGCAGGAAAAGGGTCCTATTCTGAGCGGGCTGTCTTTCGCAGTGCCTGCGTTGAGTGTGGGATAGGGACAGGCGGTGAAAAGAGGCAGCCCTTTTTGGCTGGGGCTTTCCTGACAGGGCGGGGAAGGCGGTTGAAAGAGAGAGAAGAGGAAAAAGAAGGAGAAGAAGGAGAGGGAGGAAGGGCTTGGGCCAAAACAAGGCCGCCTCTCCCTCTGGGCCCTGCAGAGCCAGCAAAGTGAGTAAGCATCCCATTTTCAATTGAGTTTGAGGAAAAGAAATGTGTTTTTGTGGCTGTGGATTCCTGTTAATGGCTGGAACTGGCCACACTCCAGTTCTGTGCATTGTCCATCAAGGTAAACATGACCCTATTTACATAGAAGTCACTCCCATTCAAGTTTATGAGGTGCAGCTCTGTAAAATCCAGGTTTATCTATTTATTTCTCTCACCAGTGGAGAGAGAAAGGAACACTGGGATGTCTGTTGCAAAGGAACACTGGGGTGCCTGTTGCTAATCAATTCCTCTGTGTGCTGTGTCCTATAGATAATAGAAAAGGGTGAAGGGAGAGGCAGTGGGTGGTGGTGGTGGTTATGAAAATGCAAATTCCACACCAGTGGAGAAAGGAACACTGGGATGTCTGTTGCTAATCAATTCTTCTGTTTTCTGTGTGCCATAGAAAAGAATAGGAAAAGGTGAAGGGAGAGAGAGAGAGTGAGAAAGAGAGCAAATTCCACACCAATGGAGAGAGAAAGGAACACTGGGATGTCTGTTGCAAAGGAACACTGGGATGCCTGTTGCTAATCAATTCCTCTGTTTGCTGTGTCCTATAAATAATAGAAAAGGGTGAAGGGAGAGGCAGTGGGTGGTGGTGGTGGTTATGAAAATGCAAATTCCACATCCCTGGAGAAAGGAACACTGGGATGTCTATTGCTGATCAATTCCTCTGTTTGCTGTGTGCCATAGATAAGAATAGAAAAGGGTGAAGGGAGAGCCAGAGAGAGAGAGAGCAAAAGCAAATTCCACACCAGTGGAGAGAGAGAGGAACACTGGGATGTCAGCTCACAACAGCTGGGCTCAATGATGACACGAGACTTCCATCGTAGTCAAACAAAGATCTTTACTGTCAGATACTCAGACACAGAAAAGCCGGGATTGTCTGGTCGCAGCAGACACTCCCTTATATACACTCCCACCAGTTCAAAACGTGAGCTCCCGCCAAACCCAATACCCCGTGCAAAGCTTCCCGCCACCAGACAACTGCTTTCTTCCAAGGTCACCAGCTGCAGATTCCTTATCAGGGTAGAACGTCAGGATTCTAGTTTTCGGCGCCAAAATCTGGGCTCCGGAAACTGGATCCTGACACTGGGATGTCTATTGCTAATCAATTCTTCTGTTTTCTGTGTGCCATAGAAAAGAATAGGAAAAGGTGAAGGGAGAGCCAGAGAGAGAGAGAGGAAGAGAAAGCAAATTCCACACCAGTGGAGAGAGAAAGGAACACTGGTGTGGAATTTGCATCTCTTCCCCCCCCCCACTGCCTCTCCCTTCATCCTTTCCTGTTCTTTTCTATGGCACACAGCAAACAAAGGAATTGATTAGCAACAGACACCCCAGTGTTCCTTTCTCTCTCCACTGGTGTGGAATTTTCATTACCCCCTCCCCACTGCGTCTCCCTTCACCCTTTTCTATTCTTATCTATGGCACACAGTAAACAGAGGAATTGATTAGCAACAGACACCCCAGTGTTCCTTTCTCTCTCCACTGGTGTGGAATTTTCATTACCCCTCCCCACTGCCTCTCCCTTCACCTTTTTCTATTCTTATCTATGGCACACAGCAAACAGAGGAATTGATTAGCAACAGACACCCCAGTGTTCCTTTCTCTCTCCACTGGTGTGGAATTTTCATTACCCCTCCCCACTGCCTCTCCCTTCATCCTTTCCTGCTCTTTTCTATAGCACACAGCAAACAGAGGAATTGATTAGCAACAGACACCCCAGTGTTCCTTTCTCTCTCCACTGGTGTGGAATTTTCATTACCCCCTCCCCACTGCGTCTCCCTTCACCCTTTTCTATTCTTATCTATGGCACACAGTAAACAGAGGAATTGATTAGCAACAGACACCCCAGTGTTCCTTTCTCTCTCCACTGGTGTGGAATTTTCATTACCCCTCCCCACTGCCTCTCCCTTCATCCTTTCCTGCTCTTTTCTATAGCACACAGCAAACAGAGGAATTGATTAGCAACAGACACCCCAGTGTTCCTTTCTCTCTCCACTGGTGTGGAATTTTCATTACCCCTCCCCACTGCCTCTCCCTTCATCCTTTCCTGCTCTTTTCTATAGCACACAGCAAACAGAGGAATTGATTAGCAACAGACACCCCAGTGTTCCTTTCTCTCTCCACTGGTGTGGAATTTTCATTACCCCTCCCCACTGCCTCTCCCTTCATCCTTTCAGGCTCTTTTCTATGGCACACAGAAAACAGAGGAATTGATTAGCAACAGACACCCCAGTCTGAGAAAGGAACACTGGGATGTCTGTTGCTGATCAATTCCTCTGCTTGCTGTGTGCCATAGAAAAGAATAGAAAAGGGTGAAGGGAGAGGCAGTGGGCAGGGGGTGGTCATGAAAATTCCACACCAGGGGAGAGCGAAAGGAACACTGGGATGTCTGTTGTTAATCAATTCCTCTGTTTGCTGTGTGCCATAGAAAAGAACAGGAAATAACAGGTGATAAAAATTCCACAGCAGTGGAGAAAGGAAAGGAACACTGAGATGTTTATTGCTGATCAATTCCTTTGTTTGCTGTGTGCCATAGATAAGAATAGAAAAGGGTGAAGGGAGAGCCAGAGAGAGAGAGAGAGAGAGAGAAAAGCAAATTCCACACCAGTGGAGAGAGAAAGAAACACTGGGATGTCTGTTGCTAATCAATTCCTTTGTTTGCTGTGTGCCATAGATAAGAATAGAAAAGAGTGAAGGAAGAGGCAGTGGGCAGGGAGGTGGAGAGAGAAAGGAACACTGGGATGTCTGTTGCTAATCAATTCTTCTGTTTGCTCTGTGCCATGGATAAGAATAGAAAAGGATGAAAGGAGAGGCAGTGGGGAGGGGTAATGAAAATTCCACACAGTGGAGAGAGAAAGGAACAGTGGGGTGTCTGTTGCTAATAAATTCCTTTGTTTGCTGTGTGCCATAGAAAAGAACAGGAAAGGGTGAAGGGAGAGCCATTGGCTGGGGGGGGGGAGAAATGCAAATTCCACACTAGTGGAGAGAGAAAGGAACAGTGGGGTGTCTATTGCTGATCAATTTCTCTGTTTGCTGTGTGCCATAGAAAAGAACAGGAAAAGATGAAAGGAGAGGCAGGGGGGAGGGGTAATGAAAATTCCACACCAGTGGAGAGAGAAAGGAACACTGGGATGTCTATTGCTGATCAATTCATCCTGGAAAGAAGTGACGAGCGGAGTGCCATCAGCAGGGTTCTGTCCTGGGCCCGGTCCTGTTCAACATCTTTATTAATGATTTAGATGAAGGGCTAGAAGACAGGACCATCAAGTTTGCAGACGACACCAGATTGGGAGGGAGAGTCAAGACTCCAGGATGTTTTGCTTGGAGAATCATAGAGTTGGAAGAGACCTCATGGGCCATCCAGTCCAACCCCCTGCCAAGAAGGAGGAATATTACATTCAAAGCACCCCTGACAGATGGCCATCCAGCCTCTTTTTAAAAGCTTTCAAAGAAGGAGCCTCCACCACAGGCCAAGAGGGGGGCATAATAGCCACGTTTAAACATTTGAAAGGATGTCCCATCGAGGAGGAATGGGCAAGCTTGTTTACTACTACAGGGACTGGGGCACAAAGCAGGTATGGGTTCAAACGGCAGGAAAATAAATTTCATCTAAACATGAGGAAGAATTTTTTCAGGTACATAAAATTTGCTCAAACACTTAACGTAGATGAAACATTTCTACAAAGTGTCCCCCATCAGACAGCCTAGACCTTTCCCCTGCTTTTTTCTAAGCTTACGGAGAACATTTAAAGAAAGGAAAAACAAATGCATTCATAGCTACCAACCAAGTCTGGAGTCTTGCTTTTTAGGAGAGCTGGATGGGTTGTAGGTGAGGGGCTGGTTTTGGATGATGTGGTGAGGAGTATGTGGGTGAATCCTTTCCTGGGAATCCTTAGCAGTGGCTGGAAAGGACCCATGGATGGTGCAGATCTGTAGCGGAACAGCATGCCCTTGTCCAGAGCGCAAGGGGAATGTGGCCTGTGCTGCCTTCCGTGAAGTTTTCTTTCCCAAACAGACCCATCTGATTATTTTCCTCTGAGCGGCCGCATAGTAGGCATGTCCTGGAACCCATAAAGGGAGAATCGGGCTTGGTGCCTCAGTGCTGCTCCTTTGTCTGACATCATCGTCATGTGTTGCTGGCTACCAGAGCAGTGGCGTGTTGCTGGCGGAGTGCCCAGCGTCTGCTGAGACTGGGGTGTTCCTTTCTGCCATTGGACAAACTGAACCAAATTGGGTGATCCTTTAGAGGCTTCCTCTTGTGCCTGGCTGTCACTAGGCAGTTCTGTGCTTTGGCCTGATGGGCAAGGCCAGCCCTTGGTAGAGAGAGAGCTCAGCTGGAGAGGCAGCCCTTCCAGGGGCACAGGACTGGGTCTTGGGTGGCAGGAACTGCGGCTGCCCTCGCCTCACTGGTCCCAGTTTGCTGTGGATAATGCAGAAAAACACAAGGAGGAGACATGGTTAGTAAGTTGGAAGACCTGGTTTTTCAATGGGTTATGTTTGTGTGTTTGTTTTTCTTTGAGTCTAATACTTGTTAGGGTTGTTGTAGGTTTTTTGAGCTGTATGGCCATGTTCTAGAAGCATTCTCTCCTGACGTTTCGCCTGCATCTGTGGCAAGCATCCTCAGAAGTTATGAGGTTGTTACCTTTTTCTTTACCCCAGAAAACATGGCAATGGTCTATGTATTGTCGAAGGCTTTCATGGCCGGAATCACTGGCCATGTTGTAGGTTTTTTCGGGCTATATGACCATGTTCTAGAGCAGTGGTTCTCAACCTTCCTAATGACGTGACCCCTTAATACAGTCCCTTATGTTGTGGTGACCCCCAACCATAACATTGTTTTTGTTGCTACTTCATAACAGTCATTTTACTACTGTTATAAACCATAATGTAAATATCAGATATGCAAGATGTATTTTCATTCACTGGACCAAACTGGGCACAAATACCCAATGCACCTACATGTAAATGCTAGTGGGGCTTGGGGAGGATTGATTTTGTAATTTGGGAGTTGTAGTTGCTGGGATTTATAGTTCACCTATAATCAAAGAGCATTCTGAACTCCACCAGCGATGGATTTGAACCTAATTTGCCACACAGAACTCCCATGACCAACGGAAAACACTGGAAAGGTTTGGTGGGTATTGACCTTGAGTTTGGGAGTTGTAGTTCACCTATATCCAGAGAGCACTGTGGACTCACGCAATGGTGGATCTGGACCAAACTTGGCACAAATACTCAATATGTGCAAATGTGAACACTGGTGGAGCCAGGGGAAAATAGATCATGACTTTTGGGAGTTGTAGTTGCTAGGATTTATAGTTCATTACAATCAAAGAATATTCTGAACTCCACCAACGATAGAATTGGCTCAAACTTCCCACATGGAATCCCCATGACCATCAGAAAATACTGTGTTTTCTGATGGTCTTTGGCGACCCCTCTGACACCCCTTCGCGACCCCCCTCAGGGGTCCTGACCCCCAGGTTGAGAAACACTGTTCTAGAGGCATTCTCTCCTGGCATTTCGCCTGCATCTATGGCAAGCATCCTCAGAGGTAGTGAGGTCTGTTGGAACTACCTCTGAGGCTGCTTGCCATAGATGCAGGTGAAATGTCAAGAGAGAACATGGCCATATAGCCCGAAAAAACCTAGAACAACCCATTGGCAATGGTCTTCTTATGTCCTTATTGGTTTATTAACTTCCACCTAGGCATTTAAAATGCATTGGTTGCTTTAATCTGAGGTGTGTTCTAAATTCAGTCTCTCCCTCCCTCAATTTCTTCCCCCTTTTTATGCTGCAAGAGACTGACACGACTACATTGAAAACTATTTTGCTTTGTATTGCAGTATGTTTTACAAGAGTGAGAATGAAAGACTTCCCTGTTCTCACAGTGTGATGCACATCAGAGGTTACTTTGCATGTAACAGCAACCATGACCAAATTCCTAGAGGGAATTTTGCTCCTTCATAATAATCTTTTTGTATGTAGAGATTTGAATACAGTTATTTAACTTAAAGGTAAAGGTTTCCCCTGACATTAAGTCTAGACATGTCTGATTTGGGTGTGTATGTGTGTGCTCATCTCCATTTCTAAGCCAAAGTGTCAGCGTTGTCCGTAGACCCCTCCAAGGTCATGTGGTCAGCATGATTGCATGGAGTGCCATTACCTTCCTACCTATTGATCTACTCACATTTGCATGTTTTCGAACTGCTAGGTTGGCAGAAGCTGGGGCTAACATCAGGAGCTCACCCCGCTCCCTGGATTCAAACTGCTGACCTTTTGGTCAGCAAGTTCAGCAGCTCAGCAGTTTAACCAGCTGTGCCACCGGGGGCATCCTCAGTTAACTATTAGGTAGGATTAAATCAGAAAGCATTGGGGGTGGGGTGGGGGGTGGGTGGGAACCAAATGAAGAACATTTTGTTATGCTAGTTATTTAGTAGAATTGTTTTAAACTGGTAATTCCTGATTTTATGTAGAAAAGATGCAAGAAATGGTCAAAATGAAACATAATCTGGGCTGCATTTAAAACATATTGCAATACAAATGTATTCAAGGTGGAAGAACATGAGCAGTTATGCATGCAACACAAAACCATTACATGGAATCATGTATAAATGTTGCCAATAGGTAGCATTAATGCTAGATCAATTTACCGTATATATTCGAGTATAAGCTGACCCGAATATAAGCTGAGGCACCTAATTTTACCACAAAAAACTGGAGAAATGGATTGACTCGAATATAAGCTGAGTGTGGGAAATGCAGCAGCTACTGGTAAATTTCAAAATAAAAATAGATACCAATAAAATGACATTAAATGAGGCATCAATTGGATAAATGTTTTTGAATATTTACATAAAACTGTAATTCAACATAAGACTGTCCATCTCTGATTCAGCCATTATTCTAACCTTCTTCAATGTAAATATGCTTATGTATCTTTCCAATAATAATAGAGTAAAATAATAATAATAGTAATAATAATAGAGTAAAATAATAAATGTAATAACAACAATAATAAAGTAAAACAACAACAACAGCAACAAAGTAAAATAATAAATAACCTTGACTCGGGTATAAGCCGGGGGAGACTTTTTCAGCCGAAAAAAAGGACTGAAAATCTAGGCTTATACTTGAGTATATATAGTACTAGCTTGGGGACCCGGCGCTGCCCGGGTTATTTGAGAATGCATTGTTTGTTTTGTGAAGTTTGGTAATATCAGTTTGGTAATGTGTAATGCTATTTATTAGAAAAACAAACAGTCTTTCTATTTGTTTTTTTAATTAATGCTTCCATTAGAAAATGCATAAGGCTGTGGGTGAATTACAATTTCAAGAATTGTAGGTCAGTCATTCCCAAACCCTGCCATTAAAGTTGGCCGTGTTGGATCTGTGTGTCAAGTTTGGTCGAGATCCGACAGCACCTGAGTTCAGTGATATCTAGGTAAGGGTGAACTACAACTCTCAGTTTCCCAGGGCAATCACCCCCAAGCTCAGCCAGAATGCACAATTGGCCATGTTGGTTCTGTGTGCCAAGTTTGGTCCCGATCCATCATTGGCTGAGTTCACTGTTCTCTAGATAAGGGTGAACTACAACTTTCAGGGTAATCACCCCTAAACTCTGCAAGTATGGACAATTGCCCATGGTGGGTCTGTGTGCCAAGTGAGTTCCAGGTCCATCATTGGTGCAGTTCAGAGTGCTCTTAGATTGCAGGTGAACTATGCATCCCAGTCCCTACAACTCCTATAAATCATTGTGAATTCTCTCCAAACCTCTCCAGTATGTTCAGTTGCTGATCAATTCCTCTGCTGTGTGCCAAAAGAAAGGGTTGGAATGGGATAAGGGAGAAGCAGTGGGTGGGGTCATGCAAATGAAGAGAGAAAGGAACACTGGGATGTGCTTGCTATAACCTGCAATGTCCTTCGAGAGAGTGACTTGCTGTCTTCACAGCACTGGAAACAATAGCCTATTTGTGGAGGCTGTCGGCTGTCAGTGTGAACAGACACCTGTGCCACATACAGATTTTCACTTTTATTATGTGTATAGATGTGCTCAAATAGAAAAAAAGAATAATCCTCAATAGAAAACTGGATTCTAAAAATTCTAGAACTGGCAAAAGTGGACAAGTTACCCTGTTTGATTTCGAAGAAGTCAACTGGCAATTTTTCAAAAGAATGGGAATGACTAATTTTCATTCATAAAACAAAAAGGCAATGTAAAAATGCTTCCTGGTTTTGAAGATGAGATGAGAGATTGAAATAGTAAACTAGAATAAAGAAATTGTTTAAGATAAGAAGTTAATAGGATGGCAGTGATATTTGCATCGTATTTGTTTCTTGGAAGCGGGCTGGACTGGATGGCCCACAAGGTCTCTTCCAACTCAATGATTCTTTGATATGTCTTTAAGATGTGAGGTGATGGGAAGTCAATTTTAGCTCTAATTGTTTATGGTTATTGTTGTTAGGTGGAGAGTCAGGGGAGTTAATTTTAATAGGTATATTGGTGATATACATGACATATTGCTTATCGAGACTTTTATTGCTGAAATATCTACTTAGATCAGGGGTCCTCAAACTTTTTAAACCGAGGGCCAGGTCACAGTCCCTCAAACTGTTGGAGGGCCGGATTATAATTTGAAAAAACATGAATGAATTCTTATGCACACTGCACATATCTTATTTGTAGTGCAAAAAACACTTAAAAACAATAAAATAATTAAAATGAAGAACAATTTTAACAAGTATATAAACTTGTTAGTATTTCAGTGGGAAGTGTGGGCCTGCTTTTGGCTGATGAGACAGGATTGTTGTTGTTGTCATGTGCTTTCAAGTCATTTCAGACTTAGGTTGACCCTGAGAGAGGGCCAGGTAAATGACCTTGGAGGGCCGTATCTAGCCCTCAGGCCTTAGTTTGAGGACCCCTGATCTATGGAAAAGTGATGGTGGAGGAGCATGAGCAGTAATTGCACGCAGCACTGAACCATGGCTTAGCATCATGCGTGAATGTGGCCAATAGGTGGCAATAATACAGTAACTAACCAGCTCCCATCCAGGCAGGTATATATCTGTAGTTCACCTGTTCACAGAAATGTCCTATCGATTTAC